TAACAAATGGGATATTATAAAACTGTTAATTATGATCACATTACAAATGACTAAATTTTGATCCCTGAAATTCTTGGTTATACAAATGTTCACTTTGTCTGGTTTTGTTGCAGTATGCCCCATATATCCCTCCTCCCTCTACAGGCAAAACCTTTATCCACCAAAATTAATGTAATTTATACCCATTTTTTACCCTCCAGTTAAGAAATTTTATTAATTTTTTTACATTCATACAACGAAAAATACAAGAAAGATATCTGGCTTATTTAAAATATTAAAAATTTCTAACACAGTTGAATGCAAAGTAATCATGTTATGGTAATGACTAACTTGATTTCCCACATAATATAATATTTTTTTTGATGATAAATGGCTAAATAAAAACCTTCCTTCTTCATACTGGCTTGTAAACAAATTATTTCTTAATTTCAAAAATACAATACTAGATACATAACTAATTGTATCTACATCTGTAATAGATTGATTAATATAGGAATGAAAGTTACCAGATGAATTTTGAGAAAAAAAAGCCAAGAATTTTACCAAATAAATTTTTGAATCTATTAAAGCAAAAGCAAATCCATTTCTTTGTGCTGGATATATTAAAGATATATTTGCTGTGCAAATTTGTGGAATCCCATCACCTGTAATAATTTTATGATTAATTAATATTTAATTAAAATTTCAAATGCAAAATCAAATATCAACTTACCACTACTATCATTATTATTTGGTAAAAGTGAATTTATTTGCTGAAATCTTTGATGAATACCCCAACGTTGGTGTCTTGATTTTGGTTGATTGTATATATCTAAATTATTTGTTAAATATGAAACATGATGACTAATAATTGATGAATTAAGGGTACTTGTTAAATCTGATCTATTTGGAATATTTTGATGTCTACTATGAATGATGTTTTTTGAAATATAAGCTTGATGGGATACTCTTTGGTTGTATAGTGAAACATATAAATTTTCATAATCTAAACAGAAAAACTTAAATTTGTGATTGAATTATTATCCAAATTATCCAATAAATTGACTTCTTGTAAACTCAAATTCAAATCCTCATCATTATCATCTCTAATATCTAAATTTGAGAATTTTTCCATCAATTGAGCAATTTCAAACATAATTCCTTCATCTCCTTGAAAAGTTTCTTGATTATTTTTAGTTTCAATTTCATTGGTTGTTTCTATAAAATTATAAAGCATTGTTGACAGTAAAGAATCTAAATTCATGAACATTCCAACAATTTTAGCCAGATTATTTGCTTCTTGGTATGCTTCATGAATTGCAGTAGATAACTCATAATTGCTTGGCCAGATTGACAATATATCTTTATATTCAGATAAATTTCCTTCAAAGTAATTACAAATGTATCCTAAAGAGTTAAAATTGGTATTTAGATAATATTAAGTATAGAATTTTAATAAAATCAAAGTAGATATTACTAACCAATTTTAGAAACTTTATTTTCAAATATTTTCATTGGTAATTGATGAATCCATATAAGCCTTAAAATCACATTTAATTTTAGGTATTAAGTAAATTAAATCAACATAGGTGAAGTCTGGCATATTCTGACAAACCATTCCAAAAAAATTTTCACAAACTTCAGTTCCATGCAACCATGGAAGAAGTGGAATTTTTGGATAATATTCTCTATGATAAATAACCAACAATATCTGCATACAAGAATTATAAATATTATTAGTTATTTTAATCATAAATTAAAAATAATAATTAATTATCAAGAAAATCTATAAGTTCATGAATTTGTTTTGCCAGAAAATTTTTTTCAATTGAAAAACCTTTGGAAATTCGTTTGAATTTGATAACATTGCCAAATTTTTTAAAAAAATTTACACATCATGACCATTTTACATCTTTCTAAATGTTAAATTTTTCTATTTAAAAATGCATCAACAAGTCCCCCTGCAACAAATAAAATAATTAATAATTAATAATAAATAAAAAATAAAATCAATAATATAATTATCCAACACATTCACTTACTAAATAATATATAAAAGGTCCTTTATTATCATAATTACTGGTTATGGAATTAGATACTTCCAAGAAAAATTCAGGTGAAAATAATCTATAGGCTGCACTGTCATCTTGACTGTCAACATTACAAACATCGCCATGAAATAAAACAGATTCTGGATTATTTGCTAAATCAAAAACATGTTGAAATCCAACATATGAATCACCAAAACTAAGCATCCTAGCACCACTATAAATACTATTTCTAGTATTTTTTCTCAGATGTTTTGGATCAGTGACACACACAATAGGACCAATATTAGAAAAAATTGGACTACTTATTCTGATATCTATTTAAAAGAAAAATTAAGTTATATCATTTAATACATAAATAAATTAAAACAATTAATTACCATATAACTTGTCAGAAAATTTTAGCCTTGAAGAAGTAGATGTTTGCATTATACACTTTTGTGCCTTAAATTCAGGTGCAGCACCATCAGCAACAATTTATAAAATATGATTATAGATAAAAAAAAATTATATAAAAGAGTTGAAATCAAAAGTTTCTATTAATATAAATTTTATATGAAACTTATTTTTGATTGCTTTTAATATTGTATAGTGTATAAAATTGAAGGGGGAAATGGACTGTGAAATTACTGAAAAGTTAAAGCCACATTTTTACCGCAGGTGTAATCTTACAACAATATCTGACCTTCGATTTGATGTAAAAAATGTAATTATAGTTATTTTGCTCTTTACCAAGTAATCATAACTTTAAAAGTCACTAATTAGACATATCAAAACTGCAAGTGAACATATAGAAATTTACTAAATGTACTAATATAAGACTTCCAATTATGATTCGATAAATAAACACATGTTCTGCTCAACAATGAAGCAATATCAGGAATTAACCCCAGTTATAAGGCGTTTGAAAATATTTATGGTTTGTTTATGATGACACTAGAATTAAAATTATTATATTAAGCAAAAAAATATATTTGTGAAAAATAAAATAAGCAAATAAATCGTCCATTTTATTATGGTGATTATTGCTGTTGCTGTTGTTGTAATCATTGAATGTTTTGTTGCAATTCTATTTCAGTTGATTCACTGGCAGTAAGTTCGGACAGGTTGGACTATTTGTTTCCGTCCCGTTCAATAAATTGGATGCTATATCAGCAACTCCGATTTTTTTAATTACTCAATCCACAACTTAATGCTACTTCCAGATCGATAGGTAGATGTTGAGCTGTTTTCAATAACTTATAAAGTAAATTGCTATCATGAAATTGAGCTTCCTCTTCCATCCAATTTCTTGACATGTAACTACAGCTAGCTATGATATACTTGGCTTTGTAAAATATTTGGATCGCGCGTGACAGTTATAATATTAAGAACATGGTTGCGATTGATCCTTGGTGGTTCTCTTAAAACTCATAAGCACAGTTAATGGCTCTTATACTAGAATTACCATCTAACATTATCAGGAAATGATGTTTTTGTTGAGTAAGCTTCGCCAAGTAAATAAAAAAAAATTAGATCTTGATATTTAAATGTTTTTAACATCATTGCAAATAGTAATTGTTTTTTCTGTATTATATTATAGAGCTGGTTCTTGTAGGTTTATAATGAAGCAAAGATCCATTGATTCATTTTAACCTTGGTATTCATTAATGACAATGAACAAAAATAAGAAACGAGACATTGTAAAACTGTCAATCAATATTATTATTATTATTATTATTATGTTAAACAATCGACTAATTTTGACCTCCATTTATTTGGAAGAAAATAAAATCTATCGTTATTGTTTATTGAAATTAACATGATTATTTTTTTTCGTTATTATCTTCTTCCAATTCATTAGTGGTATTGGCTTCTGGAAAATGATCTAGTGTTTTATATATTTTTAATGGTTTCATTGGTGGGAGATTGAATTGTGAAGGTTCGACTGATTTGGCAGTAGTCTACAATTAAATTGTTATAAATATCATTATAATTATGTTATTTGTAATAGTATCATTACTAATATTATTACCATTTTCAATTTGTCTAAAACACGATTAATTGGATTTGTCAAAAAATTTTCTGCCTCATCAACTCTATCAGTCACATCATTTACAGTTTGTTTGACCACACTAATGAATCTCTATCCATTACATACATGTCGGAATAAAATATTAGTAATTGAATCACAATTTGTAAAAAAAAAATTTTCAAGTTAATTAAATAATTACTTCAAGAGAATCGATCTTATTATACAAAGAATCTAAATGATGTGCAGCTTCATAAAGTTCTTTAGATGCTATTTCTGATCTTGTATCGATGTCATTTCTAACCTATTAATTTTAATAATATTAGTATTATTATCATCGATGTTATGAAATTTTGATCAAAAAAAAAAAAGCTTACTTGTTTTAGAGAATTCTTTGTATCATCCATTGACACAGACATATCTTCAATATTTTTCTTGATTTCATCAATCTTTTTTTAATTATTTGTTTAAAATTATATATATCATTATCATCATCATTATTATTATTGTCATTATCATTATCATTATTTAAAGCCATATTATGTTAGAAACAATAATAATTAATTGCTTACAGTTTCTACATTGTTTTCATTTATTTCTAAATTTTTTGCAAGTTCTTGTGAAATAGCTTCAATATTTATAGTTGTTGATTTATTTTCCATCTTGACTCTAATTCATTTTCCATACTATTTATATTATTTATAAGATGAATGATCGTGTAACAAACAGATTATTAATTGTGATTAAAAAAAAATAATAAAATCATTAAAAATATGAGTGGTTTAAATATTATATGGATAGGTTTGGGTGTATCAGCAGGAGTATTCTTTTCCTATATTCTAGTTCCAAAAGGACAAAACCAAACGTAAGTAAATAATTGAATTAGTGAAGGAAGAGAATAGATTATTGGTTTATTTATTTTTTGCTGAATATATAAGTTTTTAACTGTATGATTAATTTCATTCATTTTATTGTCATTTTAGAACAATGAGGACTTGTTTAATATTGTCTTTAGTTTGTTGTTATTTAATGTAAGTTTGAAACTGATCAATGATAATTAAAAATAATTTAATTTATAATTATAGCAATAATAATTTATGATGATGATAATATATAGGTGGGCTATCACTTATCTGGCACAACTTCATCCTTTAATAGTTCCTAAACGATCTTTACATCATGAAGGATAATTCAAAATTTGAAGAATCTATTGGTTTTTTTTTATTTATAAATGAAATCCAAACTGTATTTCATACACATAACATGTATAATAAATACATTGTATATTATTAATATTGGTTGTTGGTTATAATTTCATGTATAATATATAATAGTATTTATTTTATTAAATTCCATTTCACATTATTGTCATTGTTATCATTACTGTTGATAATAAATCCATCATTCAATTCACCATTCCAAATTTTTGTAGTATTCCATTTTGAATAGGCATGTTTATAAAGATTCATCATCACAGCACCTTGTTGTGCAATACGTGAATCAAGTATACATTTTAAATACCCAATGACCTTTTAATATGCCCAACACATCATGACATGATAAGCAAAATGTCCAATAAATTAATCTTGCAAACATTTATTTTTAGAGAAAGTATAAAATCTCCTGATATCCTGGTGGGAAACACCCATACAACTTCAAAGTGTGTTGGCATTTTCTTGTGATAATTACAATGGTATTGATGGACAATAGTTATGATGATAGCAACTATGTTCATGAAAGTAATAGTGACAATGAAGATTTAGGCACTGAAATTCAGGATATAGGAAGCACAATTTGAATAAACAAGGATCAAGGTCCATCACTAATTGAGTTCAATGAATAGTAATTTTAAAAGTGTAGGCCTATTTTTCTTTTATGTTAGAAGAGAAGCAAAAATTAGCACCAAAAGATTGATGATTTTAACTGTATTAGTTTAAGAAATATCACAAAAAAATATATTCTCTCCTCTGAATGAACATGGTTGACCAATTAAAATGGGCTGTTCCTAATTATTATTATAAAATACTACATATGCAACCCAAAGCATTTTGCTAATGTCAAAAGTAAAGCTCCAAACAGTTCAGTTTGGTCCAGTTTCGATTTACTCTTTGAATCAAACTGAACCAAACTGAACCATTCAGAGCTTTAGTCTAGAAACTACTTGGTAGTCCCTGGTATTCTAATTTTTGCACTCTGCTTTTAGAATTAAATTTATTAATTCTAATCTAATAAACTTATTATAGAACCATCTCCCAGTTGAATGAGTTTTTTCTAAAAGCACATATTTAATTGCTCAAAGGCATTGTGTTTTAGAACCCGAAGCAATAAGAGTTTGAATGTGTTTAAAAAGTTTGCAGAGGAGGTGATGAATTTTTAGAACGTCCTTAGGGTTTCTATTTGAATAAGGTCTATTCACATTATTTGCTTCATTCATTATAAATTTGAGTATTCAAATTACATTGAAAGCTTAGTCAAATAAAAGAATAAAGCAAATAAACGAATAAAACAAATAAAATGAATAAAGCGAATAAAGCGAATAAAACGAATAAAGCGAGTAGAGTGAATAAAGTGAATAAAACAAATGATTCAATTAATATTAAGGTTGTATTGTGAATAGAAATTCTAATACTAAGCATACAGATTTTTTGTGGTGCAAGAATGTCTGAAATTTTCAGATCAAATGTAACTGAAAAACTGAAAAACCAAATTGTTCAGAGCTTATGCAAGCACCATTTAAGGATACGGTCTAGCACGTGATCATTTATTAGTAAATCCTAGGGGTTAGGAGCATAGTGGACTTTCGATTCGTGTAACGTGACTATTGAAAAATTTTGCCGATCACAATTCATAATAGATACAAACGTAAAATTATAACAGTAAAATAACACTAGTAAAATTTTTATTTT